AAGCTAATGCTAGGTAGGACAATGTACATCATGCAGGTAGAGTTCCTAGGCTGAATCAGTGAATTATCAGCATTATTAAAATGTGAACATAATTAAGCACCTTGCGGAGTTACAGCTACTATGGCCACCAAGCAAGTAGTGCAGGTCCCAACTGTGAACAGAAAAATAAGCTCAGCTTTAACTATCATGATGCTGAAATGCATATGTAATATATATAATAAATTTCTAAGAAAAAGATAATTGAGAAGATATATGTAAAACTGTATGGTGTATGGGTACTAGGCGGTGCTACTTCGTGGTTTCTGTCCCCAAACTGTTTCCTAATACTTTAACCTCTAGTGACAAATAAGCCTCAAAATATTTTCTCTGTATTTAAAACTGAAAATGTACATTCATGCCATTATATAGTGACTAGAAATGTGTGCTGACTTATGTAAATAAGGACTGCCTAAAGTAACTTTTAAACGTGGACATACTAAATTTACTCTTTGAATAGCTGGAGGAGAAATAGTTTACAGTTAGTAAACATACATATATTTTTCATTATGTTTGTAGTGCTAAAGTGAAATATTTATCAGATTATTTTTATAATAATCAACACAGATAAAATTATACTATATCCTGTTTAATATTTAATTCAGATCCCTGCATAGATTAAAATACTGCTGAAGTTCAGAGAGCCAGCATGCTACTGTTTCATTATACATTCTGCAAACAAATAAGGATGTAGGCTTACCGTCAAGAGCCATGTTCACTTAAGTTGAAGAGGCAAAGCAAGTCTCAGATGTTAGCACACCAAAGGAAAGAAAGAAAACTCCCAAATTAGGTAACCGTGAAAATGTATATCAATGCAAATAAAGTATAGGGAAATTTAAATTCACTCTTAAAATACCTCAAACCAAGACAGCCCCATATTTTGTTGTAGTATTTAATTTCAGTCAACAGCATTGCAAGTAGCTGGGTGTACGGTAATTGGTTCTTACACTGTGCAAGCTAGAACAATAAAACACTTTTGAATTACACTTAGCAAACAGGAGAACGTCTGCTTCTTGAGTGCTATAGCACACAGGGCCTCCAATAAAAAAGTCTTTGCCAGCAAGAATTTTGGATGGGCTACTACAATCACCTCAACCAGGCATTAAATATGCAAGTCCTTTACCTGCACTAGCTTTGTAATGGATAGTAAACCTGTACTGGTAACCAGAGATAAGAAACAGCTGTTCTCAGCTTCTGGGCTTCTGCCAAAAATGAAATTATTATTCTCTTAGCATAGCTGTAAAAAGTACCACATATTTTGTCAAGTCAAATTTATGCAAGGCTAGAATCATCCAGGAAACCAAAAGTGTATTATAGACAGCTTCACAGCAATCTCTTGAAGGAACACTAAATCCAATTATGCAGAACATCACAGAATTGTTTGTTATTCCTAAAGCACTTAGTTCTCATGAAAGCAAAGTATTTGTTCCTCTTCTAATGTATCAAGAACACTATCGTATGTAAGATTCTGTGATAATAAGTTATGACTGCAAAGCTCTTAACCAGATTAATTCAGAAGCAACAGAAGAAATACACCTTTCAAAAAATATGCAGCAATCTATTCTGTCCTTTAGGCATTGAGTTAAAAACAAATCTTAAAGTGGAAGAACTGTAGCTTGGTGGTGTTCCTGTTGGGAATATTAATGATTGCTTGGGAGAGAAATATTTAAGAAGGTCTATTTTTAGTTAATACTGAAGGGTATTTTATTTTCAAAAAATTATAACTCAGTATAATCCTATTCAAATTAGTCCTCAGATAATACCAATTCCCATGGGTAAGAAACCTTATCATTGTCACTGAGTAGGAATTTTAAAACTGTTTGATGGACCAAATATTAGCACGCGGTTACTATTACTGAATAAAAATATACAAAGAAATCACCAAGTAATTGATAGTGTAAAATGAAAGTGTAATCTATGCCTAACTCCTTGGCTTTGCTTTCCTACTGCCTTCTAGATGATGGAGAATATTGGATCAGCCACCAAAATTACATTTACAGCACTTTATGTTCTCACTGGTAGAAAGAACAATTAAGCATCATGGTTAAGAGCTTTGTATGAACCTAAAAATAGGGTTAAAAGTAGGACGTGTTCCATTATTTTAAGGTAGCTATCATCGAAACATTAAATGATATTCTATTTTTTGATACTTTTTGCATTCCTATAAATTATGTAACAGAATGTACCTTTACATCATTTGAGGCTATAGCAGTACACAGAAACTGAGAAGCTGTATGCATGTTACAGCTGCAGCTCATGCTACCGAAAAAAGCAGCTTACTGAACAGCAGCCATAGCCTTCACAGCTCTGCAGCTACGCAGTCTATGAACACTGAACAAAACAGCAGTCCCTGTCCCAAGAAGCAGTATTTCATCATATATAAATTACATGTATAATTGCGTATTTGTATTTGAAAACGTCAACAGTTCATAGAATCAAAGAATGGTTTAGGTTGGAAAGGACCTTGAAGATCATAGAGTTCCACCCCCCCTGCCACAGGCAGGGACACCTCCAACTAGACCAGGTTGCCCAAGGCCTCGTTCAGCCTGACCTTAAACACCTCCAGAGACGGGGCCTCAACAACCTCTCTGGGCAACCAATGCCAGTGCCTCACCACCCTCAAAGTGAAAAATTTATTCTTAATGTTTAATCTAAACCTGCCCTCTTCCAGTTTAAAGCCATTCCCCCTCATCCTGTCGCTACATGCCCTAGTAAAAAGTCCTTCCCCAGCTCTCCTGTAGGCCCCCTTTAGGGACTGGAAGGCCGCAATAAGGTCTCCCCGGAGCCTTCTCTTCTCCAGACTGAACAGCCCCAACTCTTTCAGCCTCTCCTCATAGGAGAGGTGCTCCAGCCCTCGGATCATCCTCGTGGCCCTCCTCTGGACATGCTCCAGCAGGTCCATCTCTTTCTTATGTTGAGGACTCCAGAGCTGGCTGCAGTACTCCAGGTGGGGTCTCACAAGAGTGGAATAGAGGGGCAGAATCACCTCCTTTGACCTGCTGGCCACACTTCTTTGATGGACACAGACTTCAATGGCAGTGCAGTGTGCTATTTTTCTGAGAGATCTAACACTGTAATTCAAATTTTCTGTTTCTTGCACACTTTGAGAGTTACCTGTTTTCATGGTTCACACCATGAAATTCAATTTCACCTTTCTTTTTTAAGGAATGCAAAACTGTGTAAGTAATAGGAAAGCAATACACTCAGCTTAGCTACAGGTGGTTAGTTGGGTGTTGAAGACAACAGCAGGACCTACAGAGGTGCTGGGATAGGCTTTTCCTAACTCTTTGGCCATCAGCAATCTAAAACACGATTATCACATTCATATTTATTCTAAAAAAATTCCTTCCTTTCCCTAGCTTCTCAGCATTGCCTAAAACGTATATGAAACCCATTGCCCCACTTCCCAGCATATAGCCTGTTCCTGGTTGCTTTTCCTTCTCCTTTTCAGACCATCTAGAAAGGTTCCACCTTCCTCCACTGCTGCCAATTTATCTCCAGGCTGTGGGGTCCCTAGCATCCTTCCAGCCCTTCTTCACAATCCATGGGCATGCGACTCTTCCAAAATAGCAAGACTTCCCTCTACAGCCATTTTTATAAGCATGTTTCATCTCTTTCTTCCAACTTTTGTTGTCCGCAATCCGGTACTTGGGCGAGAGGGGCAGTTTATTTCATTCTACAGAGTGACTTCTGTGAATCTGGTTAATAATTCTGGTACAAATTATACAAAATGTGTATATTGGTCATTTTTATTTGTATGGATTGTTATTTGTTGACTTTGTTAAAACACCTGCAGCTTGGCAGTGGTGTTTTTAAAGTATCCATTTTTAATGAGAGAGG